CTCCTTCTCCTCTTCCTCCTCCTCCTCCTCCTCCTCTTCCCCTTCTTCCTCCTTCTCTTCCTCCTTCTCCTCCTCCTCCTTCTCCTCCTCCTCCTCCTCCTGTCAGTCATGGGGCTTGAACTATGGGCCTGGACACCGTCCCTCCGCTCTTCAGCTCAAGGCTAGCACTCTATCACTTGAGCCACAGTGCCATTTCTGGCTTTTTCTGCTTATGTGGTGCTGAGGAATTGAACCTGGGGCTTCAGGTGTACAAGGAAGGCGCTCTACCACTGAGCCACCTTCCCAGCCCCTAACTAATGGGTAGGAAGGAAGAAAGCCAGTGGGGGTTAACCAGGAAGCACTTCCTGCCTGAGGACAGGGTACTTGTTCCTTAGTCCTTGAGCTCAGTCTGCTGGCTGTCTTGAGCACCGTGCACAGGCAGCAGCGCAGCAGGAATGGGGGCTGAGCCCACCTCCGGTGCTCAGTCGCCAGAGCAACTGTGTCGCGGGCACCTATGTCTGTGCACTCCAGGCTTGCTTGCTTTGGGGTGAGCGTGGTCTCCGTGTGGCTCCTCCCTCGCTGGCTGTCAGCGTCGCCACTCTCCTGTGTCCCTCGGCAACACTGTCCTCCCTTCAGGCCATCCAGGCAGCGGCCGGGGAGAAGCAGAGCAGGCGTGGTGGCCGCCGGGGGGGCTCATGCTGGCCGCTCGGTGGCCGCAGCTCCCATAGCTGGTCTTGGGCCAAGCTCTGTACCGCCACGAAGCCAGAGCTCCAGGGCGTCACTTCTGAGCCGAGGCTGGCCCTGGCCCAGAGAGCCACCCTGTGAAGGCGTCATCCCCACCCCCGGCGTCCTCGGTTCGTGAGGCGGCTGCCCATTTGCTGAGAAATGTGCTGGGGGTTTGTAACATCAGACGGCCATGCTTTCTGTCAATGCGTGGTACCAACCGTGCTGTCCTAAAGCCACAGACCTCAACCCTGATCCACCCAGCAGTGCCCCGTGGCCGGCGCCGGTGCTGGGCATGCAGCCGGCAGCCCCCTGGGTGGCGGCGGTAGGTGTGTTTTGGCGAGCACCTTCCGCCACGTGGGAAGGGTGCCTGGGCACGTGGGGGAGAGTGGCTATCGCAGACTAGCGCACGGGCTCCTCACCCACGCTGCTTCCTGGCTGTGGCCCACAGGCAGCTACCATGGCGGCACTGTTCATCACTGCCACCATGCCCCGACCTGCCCACAGCTGCAGGAAGGCCGAGACGGCTTCCTCAGAGGCCACAGCAGCCAGAAGCTCCCACAGAAGGAAAGCGCTGGGTTCTTCTGGACTCTGTCTCGGCTCCCAGCACACACTCAAATCCAGCCATGAGCCAGACAACATGTCTGTGTGGACGGCAAGTGTTTATCTTGATGTGAGCATGCAGAATGTCACCCTTGGGAGCACTGGGACCGGAAGGAAGGAGATGAGAGGCAGGCGTGAGGACCAAAGTACTGGGGAGGTGGGAGGGCATCAAGACCACTGGGGAGAAGCCGGTAACTGCAGTCCTGTGGTGTCACTTGGTGAGGTCTGGAATAACATGGTGGAGAAAGCCAGGCAAAGTGAGGTCCTGTGTACGGGCAGGGGCACCTCAGCTCTACACCCTGCAGACCCCTCCTGCCCACAGCCTCTGTGTGGGCCCCACATCCGTGCAGCAGAAGGGGACAGCTGTGTCCACACGGGGGACGGCGGGAGCACAGGTCAGGCAGGGACCGCAGCTGCTCCTAACTGAGGACCGGAGGCTGGGCCCCAGACGAGGCCAGTCAGCCAAGCAGCAGTGGGGACACAGCGGGGTGTGGTGGTACGGGCCATCCCAGGGCTGCAGGTCACCGGTGGTCCCTGCCATGTGCTTGTAGCTGACTGCCACCCCCTTGGCTGCCCCTTGTGTGGGGACAAGGCAGGAGATATGGACCGTGTGTCCAGCAGCTGTGGCTCGCTTCCCCAGCCCCAGGACCCTCTCTGGACGCTTAGCGGGATCTGCTCTCCAGTGCCGTGCAGGGGCCGCGTGTCCCGAGTAGGCCGTGGAAAGCTCTTGCCCGGTCTTTGGGGTGTCTGCACCTTTCAGGGCCCTGGCCTCCTCCAAGTGTGTATGGCCACAGCCTTCAGCTGTGCCGGCCATCCACACCCCAGAACCCGGCACTCGGCTGCTGCCTGGCCCTGTCACCACGAGGCCTAGGGAGCTCAGGGACATGCCTGAGCTGCTGAGTGCTGTGCAGCCTGGGCATCTGAAGAGGAGGGGAAGAGGAACCCAGTTACCCTTAGCAAAAGAGTGACGCAACCAACCCGTCTGGGGCCAGTTTTCCTCTACCAGAAGGAAATCATAGTCAGAAGAAGCTCTGTTGCCATCTTGAAATTTTCCATGAAGGCCCTGTGATTCTCTGGTGTGTGTGGTTTGGGGTAGAGGTGAGCCCGGAGGAGGCAGAGCAGGGATCTGTATCACACTCTCCGTCTCTTGGACAGGGTGTGTGTGCATGCGTGTGTGTATGTGTTCATTGGCCTTTTCACTTAGAAGCCTGGGCTAGCAGAACAGCTGGCCCCGTGGCAGCAGGCAGGTTTGGGTCTCCTAATGACCGGCTCGCAGCGTTGTATTTCTGTCCAAGAAGGTTTCCCATGCAGAGGGCACCTGTGTGAGCTGTGGTCTGTTTGTTGGCTTGGAGTACACATTGCCCTCTTCCACATTTGCTGGTGTCCTTGAAATGCAATGAATATTTAGCAAAGCCAGCAAAATAGAGTGCCCAAACCAGCAGAACTATTGTGTGGACCTTGGGGCCCTGAGGTTTCCTAGCCACCCCCAAGGCCACAGATGGACCTCGGGGCCCGGGGGCTTCCTAGCCACCCCCCAAGGCCACACATGGACCTCGGGGCCCGGGGGCTTCCTAGCCACCCCCAAGGCCACACATGGACCTCGGGGCCCGGGGGCTTCCTAGCCACCCCCAAGGCCACACATGGACCTCGGGGCCCGGGGGCTTGCTAGCCACCCCCAAGGCCACCTTGTCCCATCCACAGGGACAGTGGCACAGTGATGTCTTCAGTGGGCTGGGCAGCCTGACCCACTGCTCAGGAGCCACCTACTGCGGACTGTGGATCAACGGCCACCCAGCAGGTCAGTGAGCTTTACCCTTTCCTGCCCGTGAGGAGCTAGCCTTGTCTCCCACATTTCCCTGGGCACTCCCACAACCCCCCAGCCACAGGGCAAGGCATTGGCAGAGCTGGTCACACTGTGCTGCTGCTTAGCGGCCTCCATCTGGCTCCCTGAGGCTTCCACAGGTGGTCTGTGTCCCCAGTAGGGCTGGCCAGGCGGCCCTCGCTGGGGAACACCCCCTGGCCAGGCGTTGTTCCTTGCCATTTGTCCCTGACAATATCTGTGGCCCCCTTCTTAGACTCGGAACAAGGGTGCCACCGGGTGGTGGCCCTGCTGGGGACACAGGGCACCTCTGCAAACCTAGGTGCCCATCCTGACGCACGGGCTCCAAGCCAGCCTGACGGCGCCCTGTGGGCACCAGAGGCCCCATGGCATCTGAGCATGGCCGGCCGGTCCTCATACTGCCACGTTGTTCCCTAGCCGCCACCTCTGGCTGGACAGGGCGTGGTAGAGCCTCGCCGGAGCCATCCCGCCACTAACTCCGCTCTGCCTCTCCCAGCACCGGCCAGCAGGATTGCAGTTCTGGGTCCGGAGGTGCTCCAGGTGGTCCAGGGCACTCCCTTCACCTTGAGTGTGCAGCTGCAGCAGGATGACGGGGACATTGCTGAGAGTAAGCCGGGCGGGAAGGCCCAGCTTCCCAGAGCACAGCTCTCGAGAGGGCCAGACATGGCCACGTGGGTGGCTCATGGTCCAGGCCTTCAGAGGCCTGCTCCCTGCTGGCAGCTGTGTGTGTGTGTGTGTGTGTGTGTGTGTGTGTGTGTGTGTGTGTGTGTGTGTGTGGTATGCGTGCATGTGCAGACACAGGCATGGGGTGTGTACGTGTGTGTGTTTGGTCTCTCCCTGGAGACGAGGCTGTATCAGACATGGAAGATGGAAGAGAGGGCTTGGGTGGGCAGTCTGTAGGCAGCCTCGCTGCCTGCCAGGATGGTGGAGAAGGACGGATCCTCCTCAGCTTAGGAACTCCTGCCGTAGTAAAGGTGGACGTGTGAGTTCCCCGAGCCGTCCGCGCCATGCCAGCATCCCCTCGGTACCGTCATCCCCCTTCGTTCGGGAAGCCGTGCGGGCAGCTTGTCAGTACATTTGGTCACAACTGGTTTGTCCAGACAGCTTCACTGCGGTGACGTTAATCTGTACTGTGACGCCACGGTCTGTATCAAGCTTGCAGCCACAAGCAGGTGCCAGCCCCTTCCAGAATGTACTCTCCATGTATGACCTGACAGGGATTGCCTCAAGTTGCCTGAGTGTGCCCCTTGCCTCCCTCTCCTCTCCATCCCCCACACCTTCCTTTTTTTTTTTTTTTTTTTTTGGTCAGTCCTGGGGCTTGAACTCTGACTCGGACTGGGCGCTAACGCTCTACCACTTCTGATTTTCTGGTGGTTTATTGGAGTTTCAGACTGGGGCGGGAAGGTGGCTCAGTGGTAGAGCGCTTGCCTTGCATGCATGAGGCCCTGGGTTCAGTTCTTCAGCACCACATAAGCAGAAAAGGCTGTAAGTGGTGCTGTGGCTCAAGTGGTAGAGCGCTAGCCTTGAGTTGAGGAGCTGAGGGACAGTGCCCAGGCCCAGAGTTCAAGCCCCATGACCACCTAAAAAAAAAGGAGTGTCACAGACTTTGCTCCCCCAGCTGGCTTCGAACCACAATCCTCAGATCTCAGCCTCCTGAGTAGCTAGGATTACAGGCGTGAGCCACGAGTGCCCTGCTGTTTAGTGTGTGTGTGCGCGCGCGTGTGTGTGTGCGCGTGCGTGTGTGTGTGTGCGCGCATGTGTGCATGTGCATATGTGTGTGCGTGCACGTGTGTGCATGTGCATGTGTGTGTGCGCGCGCGTGTGTGTGCATGCACACGTGTGTGTGTGCGCGCGCATGTGTGCGTGTGCATATGTGTGTGTGCGCGCGTGTGTGTGTGCATGCGCACGTGTGTGTGTGTGTGTGCGCGCGCACACGCGCGCCAGTACTGGGGCTTGAACTCTGGGTCTCATACTTTTTGGGGAGCATGGCTCCTACTCTACCGCTGGAGTCACTCCTTACTTTAGGCTTTCTGCTGCTTAATTGAAGATAAGAATCTCACCAATTTGACTGTCTGGGCTAGCCTGGAACCTCAGTTCCCAGATCTCAGCCTCCCGAGTAGCTGGGATCACAGGTGTGCCGCTGGAGCCTGGCCCCTGCTTTTTTCCCCTTTTCTGTCTTTATTTGTAATTTTTTTTTTTTCCGTTTCACATTGGATGGTTTCTTTGCCGGTATCTTCAAGCATACAGATCCTTCCTTCCGCAGGGCCTGTTAGGGACCCGTCAGTGGGATTTTCCTCTCATCATTGTAGTTTCTTTCCCTAGAGGTTTACTCTCTTTCTTATGTCGACTAGGTCTCCACTCCATTGCCCAGCACCCAGAACCTGGTATAATCACTTCCTGTGTCCCTGACTACTCAGTCTATCACTGGGTTGCTGTCAACCTGGGTTCGTTTTCTCCTACTTACTTTGCTCCATGCGGCCATGCTTCCCACACTCCTGGCATGCCTGCTGGTCCTGGATAAAATGCCAGACATTTTAAATTCACCATGTTGGAGGCAGGCTTCCCTCATAATCCTATCTGTGTCTGAGTTTTTGCTCTGGGCAGGTGTCGCCTTATGTGCGGGCTGTTGGTCAGGTCTGGAGGAGAGCAAGTCTGGGTGATGACCCATTCCTCCTCCACTGCCCCTCCATGACCCATTCCTCCTCCACTGCCCCTCCATGACCCATTCCTCCTCCACTGCCCCTGATGACCC